ACACATTCCACGGCAAATACTCACATCTAAACCAATTCAGAATAACGCCAACCACCTTAACCTCCCAATGGGCCTCAAAAAGCCTTACCACACCAATCGAAACTGACACAACAGACATTGATATTCAAACTGCTCGTTACAACCATGTGACCTGTTGCATTCTGATGGATTGGAAAGCCTTTTCAGAATAATGCCAATGGTTGGTCAAGTTCGTTTTTGTCCTGTTCAGAATTGCGCCAGCACCAACTTCCGCAACCAAGCGCAGAGTTGTCCTACAGACAAAACACGACCACCTACCCTGATAACACTACCACGTCCTTCTCCTCCTCCTCCTACTAAGCCCATTTTCGAAGCAGCTGCACACCAAGCGAGAAGCCTAGTTGTCGCTTGAAGTAGAGGAGGCAGGGCTTGATCGCAAATAAAATAGCTGCGAAATGTCTCGGGTGGACAATGCGCGACATAGCAAAGCTCATGACCTTCAAACACTTTTTTCCGTGTTGCAACGATTCTGACAATGCAGGAAACCCACAAAGTAGGAATCACAACATCACGACCACACAGATATCAAGCTCTCCCTAACAATATCAATAACTAGCCAACACAGAATTCACACACCCCTTAGCTTCAAATTTACAAATAGATACGTACTGTTTCATTTGTGATTCGATGACCTTTGCCCTAAAATTAAATACGAACAAATGTTATCACTTGTCGGCACATGTCACTCATTCCATTTTACGTCGACATATACTACGATTGTCCAAAACAAGCACATAACACAATGACATGGACAAAAAAGGCCTTCTTGTAGACGATTCATTACCTAATAATTGCAAGTTTTGATAAGGAAAATTGAGAGCCACACACCAAACACTGGGCGCATACCAACTACTTCAAACTGCCGCCGACTCTCAATGCCACTCAGGAGGCACTCTCAAAAGTCTTTCAGGTATTGCGACGATAGTAACAATGCAGAAAACTATGGAGTAGAAATCACACCATCGCGACCCCACACACACTAAACTCTCGCTGACAATATCAATAACTAGTCAATATAGAAATTACGCACAGCATAACTCTAGTTTTATTACTAGATACGCACCCTTCCGTTTGTGGTTCGATGACACCTTTCCTAAAATTAAAGATAAACAAAAGATATCAATTGTCAGCATATGGAACGTATTCCATTTTACGTAGACATATACTACGATTGTCCCACACAAGCATATAACACAAAGACATGGACAAAAAATGGCCTTCTTGTAGACAATTCATTACCTAATAATTGCAAGTTTGGACAAAGAAAATCAAGAGCTACACATCAAACACTGAGTCCATACCAGCTATTTCAAACTGCTATCGACTCTCATTGCCCCTCACAAGGCGCACTCAAAAAATCACGTCATGCCGTTCCAGTTAAACCTCTGCGTAACCCTTCCGCCACTACCACTGACAACAAACACCTGACTGAAGTAGGATTCCAATCTAATTCGGAGTGGTTGAAAAATTCTCAGGACTTCAACGAAGCCATTTTCGAATAACTTCTACCTATTTCATTCCTACAGGCTCACAATCAACCCATAAATTAAACTTTCACCTTTTAGTCCCTTACATGGTTGGTACATTTTCGCAACTACTCTCACGATAAAGAAAAATGCTTACTTTCCCTTCCGTTTCTTCTGATGTGCGGAAGACGATTCTCCAGGTGCCTCCTCACACGTGCTAAACAAAAATTTATCAAAGTAAGCCACTAGGCGCCTATGGGAATGTGGTGCGTTACAGAAACTCTACAATTTGAAATTAAGTAAAGACTCCTGCATGGCTTCAGTCCTATGTCCGAATGGTTACAAAATGCAACATTTCAATTTACTAAAATCGAGATCTCGACTGCTTCGCGAGTTAAATAACCAAGCCTAACATTTTTGGTTCCAACGATGACATACGCGCAACGACCTGCACGATAGATCGTTAAACAGTGAGTACATATTTGCCCGATAAATGACACACCGATTGCTGTAGGTCCCACTGTTCATTGGTTGACTAACCAATGAACACAAGCAGCTGTTTTACCGCGCTCACATACCAACTAGGCACATTTTCGTTCTAGCGAGTATCCAGTCTCTGGGCTGCCGAATTTTCGATAAACCACAAAAACATCCATCCATCCATTCATGATACATCAAAACTCCTTCCAACTTGCCAAAGTATAATCAAACTCGACCCTCATGCATTGCTGTTTCACGTGAGGCTATTTACGTTAACCTAGATTCACAACTATCAACCTTCGTCTTACGATACCCGAAATGGTCAACAGCATGTCAACGTTGACAGCAAACAACAAATTACTGCCATTCTATGGCTACATCCTACCTGGGTCCAGGTTGTGGCTCCAACACCGAGGCACTTCCGCCGAAAGTGCTGTCACCACCACCCTCAATCAGCTCTCCCGAGGCACTTCCACTGGCTTCCAGTAACTGTGGTGTGACCTCCCTCTCTTTACTCTCATAAGAGGCCCATCTGAAACAAAAAACCACCATCGATAACCAACTCCAACACTCACAAAAGTCACATTGCCAGAGTGCTGTGGGATCACAACACCCACAATTTCGCCACGTTCATTTGAAACGGCTACATATAAATGCACAAATTTAATACCTGTAGACGAGAAAATGGAAGGCTGGCTTGTTTCCTTCAGTCAAGTACGGATCTCCCGTCGACTTACTTCCTGTCCAGATCTGCCGTCCCAAATACATCATACACGGCACAATGTCATATCAATGGCACAAAACGCTAAATCAGGTAAAACTGAAGAAACCACCAAGAAATTGGAAAGAGTACACAATAAGACTTACGCTGAAGGGTAGTCAGAATGAACACCTTGATCACCGGCACCACGGCCTCTTCCGCCACGACGTTGAACACCACCGCCGTCGCCTCTACCACCTTGGTGCTGAAAACCTCTACCGCCTCTGCCACCACGGTCTTGAAATCCTCCACCTCTGCCACCACGGTCTTGAAATCCACCACCTCCACCTCTACCACCTCGGTCTTGAAATCCACCACCTCCACGTCTACCACCTCGGTCTTGAAATCCACCGCCTCCTCCTCCTCTACCACCTCGGTCTTGAAATCCACCG